ACTCTATTTCTAAAATTAAATTAATAAATAAAATCTTTAGAAAAAAAAGATAAAATGATTTTCCTTGATATCGCTAGTTTTTACTTCAGTCACTTATGCCTGAATCTTATTAAAGTTTCCAGCCATTCTGCCCACTTTATCTTCTAAGCGCAAATGAGAAACTGGCAAGGGTTCTTTCCAGCCCCTGGGCACTTGAAATAAGAAATTGGAACTCCAAACGAGAACCAGAGCTTAAAGGACACAGCTACGAAACGATGCTACAAGCTGGGGGTATCAGAACTCAGACCTTCTAGACAATGCACTCTCACTAGCATTTAGCATTAAAGCTTGAAGAGATGTCAGAGAACATCTCTCATCTTAGCTAAAGACCACAGGAACAAGAGTGCTGCACAGCTCAGTTGGTTAAAGCATCTGACTACAGCTCAGGGCATGATCTCACGGTTCATGATTTCGAGCCCAGCATCGGGCCCTGTGCTGTCAGCATAGAGCTAGTTTCAGATCCTCTGTCCCCCTCTCTCTCTGCCTCTCCCCCATTCACATGCTCTCTCTCTCTCTCTCTTTCAAAAAATAAACATGAAAAAAGACCACAGGAACAATTCAGTTCATCCGTGGCCAAGCCCAACATTAGGCTCTCCAATTATTAATAATAATATCCATAGTACCTAGCTCATGCCAGGTACTATTCAGAGCCCTTTACGGGTGTTACTTTGCTTAATCCTACAACCACTCCCGTGATGTAGGTATATATTTACTAGTTGTGTATTCTCAGGTGAGGAATCTGAGGCCTAGAGGGAATGAGTTGCTTGCTTGACCTCAAAACTGAATAGCTTCCTCCCCTGAACCCACATGGTCTCCCGCCCCCAAGAAGCATGCTTTTTTCCCTACCAACAGCCTCCTGCTTCCTTCACCCGTGGAAACATCTGCAGAGAAGACTGGCTACTTGATGCTTCCCTTAGCTTCATTATGCTTCATTGTGCAGTAAATTACTGAATTCCGCTTAGCATCTGTATTATACATAGAAAATATCATCAGAACACAAGGTCTTGAATTTAGTAATGCTGGGTTGCCTCTTTAATTGGGAGAAAAGAATAACAGCTTGTTTGTGCTCATTCTTTCCAGGATCCTAACTGTTCCTTGAAATGGTTGAAGCAATTTGATGCCTAAGAACTTCATTATCTCCAGTTTCAAATCCTTTAGTTCTGTGTGAAAAATAAAGAATTTATAATCATGAAATAACAGGAGAGATGAGAAAGTTGATATAACTGTAAGCTGAATTTTTACTGACTCTGACAAATTATCTAATTGGCAGTTGAACCCCATGCCAGAAACAGAAATGCGTGCAAGGCCTCAGACTAATCATATCACACCCTTGTAGTTACAAAAAAACTCCCCTTATTAATAAGCCTCCAACCAGCGCTGTCTGAGGTTGTCTATTTTTTTTTCCTTTTTTCAATTTCCAGTGTGACTAAAATCACCCTCTGAGGGCACAAGTCAATAAATGACATTCTTTTCTGCTGCACAGAACCTGAAGCGTGTGGCTGAGACCTGGATGGATGAATTTGCTGAGTACATTTACCAGCGGCGCCCAGAATACAGGCACCTGTCCACCGGGGACATCTCCGCCCAGAAGGAGCTGCGCAAACAGCTCAAGTGCAAGGACTTCAAGTGGTTCATGGCTGCAGTGGCCTGGGATGTGCCTAAGTACTACCCTCCGGTGGAGCCCCCACCAGCCGCCTGGGGGGAGGTGAGGAGGCTGCATGAACCCTGCTCTTACTTCCTTGTGTCCGTCACTCCTGCGCTCAGGTGACAGGACAGAATGCCAACACCTCCCACTCCTTTGTTCTACAGCCAAGTAAGATTAGCTTACATCATCTCCACTAAATGAATGTCCAACATTTTTTCATACGTTGCCAAAGATGAGTATTCTGCCCTCAGCCTTGATAGTCCCACCCAGAACCGTTGGCGGCTGTTGACTCCCCAGTTGGATTTTTTTTAATACACCTGGAAAATATTTTTATTTCAGGTTAGTGAAATTTCCATAAGAGCTTGCAGAGAATGAAAATATCTATCGTGCTATTGTGTAAATAAATGTGACCTGATCTCCACGATTGAATCCCTCACCATCCACCGTGCATAGCCTTGTTGCTATTTGTATATGCAAGGATGAGGTGATGGAGGGGCTTGACTATTTTCCTACCCAGAGGTGCCGTACAGAATTGTGAAGAAATGCATTTCCATAACACCCAGAACTGTGGCACACGCGGGAGCCACATGGGTTCCTTAAATAAGCACTAACCTTTCCACCTCGGAGCGTTTCTTTTTTATTTCACCTCATGATTTTAAAATGGAAAGAACTGAATAGTCCCGGTTCCCAAATTTAGAAGATCTATCTTTTGGCATAGAAAGGACTATTGTGCTGGGTTCCGTTCCATTCAATCCTGTTACTATAGCCTTTTCCTCATAGAAAAGCATATGCTAAAGCAAGGACTAAAATTGGATAGGGTGGATTTATCCTAGCAATTTAATCTGCTTTTAGCAGGAGGCTGTGAGGGGGAAATTGCAGGCTGGGCTGGATGCGAGCGCCGTCCTACTTCTCAAGGCTTTCAGAAGCCAGGAGTTGACTATGGTGCATTGTGGAGGAACTTCTTCATCACGGTCCTTGGTTTTGCGTTGTGGGCGTGGACATGCCTTAGCCTGGTTGGTGTCTGTGGCTTTGCAGACGTCTGAACACAGAACGTGGCAGGAGAGGCCAGGATACTGAGGCAGCGTTCTTGGGTTTCCAGCTCCCCTTGGAAAAGGTTTCACGTGCACCTGCTTGTTTCGCTGAGAGGGTCCAAAAAGATGTTCTCTACCTGTGCCTGGGATGCCCCAGGCGTGAAGGAGAGAGTCAAGGTCAAGGACATCGATGCATGTTCCATTTCCAAATGTTTTTGAATGTGCACCTGGTCCTAATAGTAGCTGCTTGGGCCAGTTAGTAATCTGATCTAATACTTTGCATCTTAACCATTTCTTTAAAGCTTCCGTGGAATATTAGTAATAATGGTCTGCTCCTATTAGTTTTAGTTATCTACCATGGGCTTAATTTATAGCAGTGGAAATGTAAAGTAGACCCCCCCCACCAAAAGAGCTTTCATAGTCTAACGCATTGTATGATACAGGAATTTGTTACTCGATAAGCAGGAGAGTGTCTTTGTAAGGTGTTTTTGGTTAAGGTTATATCTACTACCTATAATAATTTTTAAAATTTATTTATTTTAATTCAAAATAGTTAATATGCAGTGGAGTATTGGTTTCAGGAGCAGAACCCAGTGATTCACCTCTCACATATAACACCCAGTGCTTATCCCAACAATTTGCCTCCTTAATGCCCATCACCCATTTAGCCCATCCCCCCACCCACCTCCTTCCAGCAACCCTTAGTTTGTTCTCTGTATTTAAAAGCCTTTTATGGTTTGCCTCCCTCTACTACCTATGACAATTTTTTAAGTTTATTTATTTATTTTGAGAGAGACAGAGAGGGAGTGCAGGAGCGGCAGGGAGAGAGAGGGAGACAGAGAATCCTAAGCGGGTTCCACATTGTCAGTGCAGGGCGTAATGGGGGGCTTGAACCCACAAACCTTGAGATCATGAGCTGAGCCTAAATCAAGATTGGGTGCTTAACTGACTGAGTCACCGAGCACCCCTACTCATGATAATTGAAATGCAATTTTGCCTTAGTGACTCAGAAATACTCTTAAAGATCTCAAAGCATCATTGTGTGGTTTGCAGCCAGTTAAAATCTTATCAAGCTTTTTTCCATCTTATGTGGAAACATATATTTTTATTCCTACATGGTTACTGCTTCAAACTGCAACAGATCACATTTTCCCATAGTACCTGACTAAATCATAATCTGTATCTATAAAATACCTTGCGTGGAAACAGACTTAAAGCTTCCATTGATGTTCTTTTTTTTTTTTTACATCTATCAGCTGTGTATTTTATTTTATTTTACTTCTTTTTTTACTGAAATTTATTGTCAAATTGGTTTCCATACAATACCCAGTGCTCAACCCAATAGGTGCCCTCCTCAATGCCCATCACCCACTTTCCCCTCCCCTCCACCCCCCATCAACCCTCACTGTGTTCGCAGTGTTTAAGAGTCTCTTATGGTTTGCCTCCTTCCCTCTCTGTAACTTTTTTTTCCCCTCATCCCCTCCCCGCTGGTCTTCTGTTGAGTTTCTCAGAATCCACATAGGAGTGAAAACATATGGTATCTGTCTTTCTCTGCCTAACTTATTTCACTTAGCTTCACACTCTCCAGTTCCATCCACTTTGCTACAAAGGGCCAGATTTCATTCTTTCTCATTGCCAAGTAGTATTCCATTGTGTATATAAACCACAATTTCTTTATCCATTCATCAGTTGACAGGCATTTAGGCTCTTTCCATAATTTCACTATTGTTGAAAGTGCTGCTATAAACATTGGTGTACAAGTGCCCCTGTGCATCAAAACTCTTGTATCCCTTGGGTAAATTCCTACCAGTGCTATTGCTGGGTCACAGGGTAGGTCTATTTTTAATTTTTTGAGGAACCTCCACGCTGTTTTCCAGAGCAGCCCCACCAGTTTGCATTTTCACCAATAGTGCAAGAGGGTTCCTGTTTCTCCACATCCTCGCCAGCATCTATAGTCTCCTGATTTGTTCATTTTAGTCACTCTGACTGGTGTGAGGTGGTATCTGAGTGTGGTTTTGATTTGTATTTCCCTGATGAGGAGCGACGTTGAGCATCTTTTCATATGCCTGTTGGCCATCT